TATGTATTTGATACAGGATCTCACTACTCAGCTCGGACTCATAGTGATCCTCCTGTTTTCAGTCTTCCCAGTGCTGGGATTACAGGCATGCGACACCACGCCCAGACTCAGTCTCTTACTCTCAGGCTCAGTGTGCCCCACCCTCCCCAGGTGGGGCCGGTGCAGCATGTGGGACCAGGGATTGAGCCCTCGTCCCTGCGCTTGCCTAAGCAGGTGCTTAGTTCGTTGAGCTATCTCGCTGGCACCAAAGAGTTCCTTTTCAAGTTCTCTCTATCTCACAATATCACTTGACACCTCTCACAAGTTTATTATTACATATATTTTTCTGTTTCTCACGTTAGCTTCATAAATTATTCCACCACAGTATAACTGGGGAACCTTCCTCCACTATCCTACAGCAACTTCCTCCACTGATGGAGATGCAGGATTTAATATTAACCGGTTGGCTTTTCATGTTTACCTGTGAGTTTGCCCAAGGCCCAGGGCAATGGACTCATATATACATATATTTCTTACAGACAGCTGAATTTCAAGTAAATCTGTGTGAGTCACTGGTCCCACTGAGGCCTGTAATAGCAGATAAAGCCATGAGGCCTCAAAAGACAAGACAAGGCCACAGCTAAGGACACCTGGCTCAATTAGTTAGATAAAGACTATAGCTGTAGGCATCTCACTGGTGAAGGCCTTCCTGGAGATAACACCCTTCTCCTAAATTAACATAATGTATTACTTGGAGATGTCCTTGAGGGGATTCTCAAGTCCTGTCCAAATTCTTCATTTTCCTCAGTATCCCCCTTGTTTGTTTGAAAAGCTAATAAACACAGGTGTCCCAGAGACATTCTTTGTTTTAAACCCCAGAAAATCTCTGTGAAAGGGATTGGATACCCCTGGAGCCCTGAAATTATTTTATTTGTCTCATTTATTTAAGGCTTTGTGATCCACTCATTCGGGAGATTTTGGGCCTGATCATTCTGCAATAACTTGGGATAATGTTAACATGATATTTTACTAATTGCAGCCCATAGTCTTTGTCACAGCTGATCCTGTTATTAATGCCACATGTTTTAAGCTTCAGGTATGGCATCATCACCCATCCAAGAACGAGTATATGCTGTAGCATGCGCTGCTGAGTGACAAGGTACCCAGAACTTAGTGGACTAAGGCAACAATGGTTTATTGATTGCTCCGATTCCAGGGTGTGACCAGGCAGTTGGTTTTCTCCTCCTGCCTCTTAGGAAGTGTTTGGTTGGGTGTTTACATGAATCCATGTGGTTTTGGATTCTAAAAGTACATTGTCTCACATCAAGAAGCCCAGGCTTCTTCTGCACAGCTGAATTACAAGAGGTACACGTGAGAGTGGAAGCTGCAAGATCCTTAAACTCTGGCACTTGCACCACGGCAGGTTCCACTGGTCAGCACAAACTCAGATTCAAGCAGTTGCTGGAGAAACAGCAATGCCTCTTGGAGAGAAGGAACCATACACTGACATTGACGAGGAGTGCAGAGGGCGGCTGATTGAGGACCGTTATTTAATGAGCTACCACAGTTACAGTAAGTTGAAGATGCCTATTAGAGACATCAGACTGTGAGTGCCATATCTTGGGGATGGGGGCTTAGGCTGAAGAAACACCCTCAGCACTTGGGAGATGCCAACACCCAGACCTGCGCTGTGGGAACCATTCTGGTCACTGTAGAGGCCGGGACTGCAAGCTGCCACAGGACCGCCCTTGAGGCCGGGGACACTGCGCTGGGAGTCACTCCCCCACCAGCACTTAGGGCCCTCTCCTTCCCTTCCCACCTCCACAGAGCCACAGCACTAGAATGGAGGTTAGGACACCATCCCAGGACATGCCAGGAAGCACTTAACACCTTATTTTGTCACTTATTGAAAGGAGCCTTGCAAGAAGGGACCATGTGCTACCACAGTGTTAGTATCTGGAGAAAGGAGAAGCAAGAACAAGTCCAAGCTTAGAATTTCCAAAAGAAAAGGGTGATTTGTGAACCACTCAAACTAATGAGAAAGACATGGGTGATAGCCTCACCACAGCTGGACACCGGGAAGAGGAGGGTTTAGAGTTGGGGGCGAGGCACAGATCCCAGAAGACAACAGAGTTCTGGTGCTACTTGCTAATTTTATGGGTCCTCATATTGTCTTTATGAAACCTGCCTGCTGCCCATCATTCCTGTAGTTGCATCAACCTCTATGCCTTAATCAGTTAGGAGTGGGGAACCTGTGATGCTCCCCAACCTGAGCACACTACTCCCCTCGCTTGTCAAGCTTCCATGACCCCATTTGTAAACTGGCCCTGCTAATTTCTGCATTCTCCCCATGTCTGTTCCCAGCCCCTGGGTTGCAGTGGGGCTGGGCTGAGGCCTAGACTGACTTTTTGGCTCCGTCTCTCGTTTCCTGAGTGGAGCCTGGCTGCACTAATTGACCTCGAGGGTCTCAGCTGTGCTAACTTGGGTGTTTGTTAGATCCCTGTTAGGCTTGTAATTAGTGCAGGGAATCTAGGTCACAGGCTGGAGTGATGGTCTCCTGGGGCCTGAAGAAGCGTGGGGAATAGCAAACAGGTTTTTCTCTCTGTGCATGGGGTGAGCTAGGGACAGCGGGACTCATGTGGTACACATGCGTGCCTGCCCGCCCGCACGCACACACACATACACACACCACCACCATCACCACCACCACCACCACTACCACCACCACTACCACCAGGGTTGAATGTTGAATGCATTTCTGCACGTGATGGGGTGTGTGTGTGTGTGTGTGTGTGTGTGTGTGTGTGTGTCTTCGCTCCCGCTCTTACTTGGGTTTCCTTCCAACCTCTCCATATATGGTGTTGTTCTAGAGCAGGCTGGGGATTGGCTGCTTTGGTTGGGAGACCAGGAGGTAGGAGGGAAGCAGAAAAAGAAATGAACCAGGTTTAGGGAGGGAGGGAGCAGGGGAAGGCACAGCATCCCAGCCCCCAGGATTGCAGGATGGGTTGAGTCTGCTGGTCTGTGAGGTTTAGACAGGAGAGAGTCTTTGGAACTGGTTTCTTGGATAAAGGAGGCAAATTTCCTGTTGGCCAGGGGCTGGGAAAGTGGGTGGGGAGGGACTGTTTTCCTAGGGTTAGGCATGGTTTCTGAGGGCTGGAACAGGGCTTAGAGAAACCTGTACTCCCACCCCCTTTTCTTTTCACCCTGGACAACCTACAGCTGTGCTGTGGACAATGAATGCAAATGAACTCCTCAGCTTCTGGGCCAGCCCCTAGCTCTTCCCAGTGTGGGAAGAGCAGTGCTGTGCCTGGACTGACCCCCAGCCCCTCTTACCAAAGGCATGGTGAGGGAGAGGGACAGCTAAGGAAGTGCCCTTGAAAGGAGAAAGCACTGGCCTCTGTGCATCTCTTCCCTTGCCTCATGTCCTCAATCCCACCTTCATCTTAGAACCTCCCGAAGGAGTTTCCTTTTTCCAGTTCATTTGGGCAAGAAGATAATGTGACCAAGTCCATGGCAAGGAGGAAAGGAGGAAGAATGGGAATGTCCTGAGGAAATGTCGGCAGGCCACTGTGGCACGTAAAGCTGCACCTTGCAGCCGGGGCAGTTGCTCCTGCTGTTCTGTCAGGACATGCACTTGGGCCTGGGAAGTGGCCTTCTGGCCTCGCTCGTGGCCCACAGCCATGAACGACCTTTCTAGCGCAGACCTGGCTTTGTGTGGAGCTCTGTCCAAAAACCAGGGGCCGCGCGTGCTCTGCCCTTTACAGCGCCGCCTTTAGCCCAGCCCGCAGCATGCTTTTTCCTGGGAAGAGTGCTGTGGGGCACAGCAGGCAGCCTGATCTAGTGCCTGGCTGGAACAGCTATAGCGATGAGCCCTGTATCCTTGCCCTTGTGCCAAGGGTACTCTGCCCATCTGGGCTCCCTGTCCTTGCCCACCGAGCTGAGCTAATAATCATAGTAGCCACAGCTGCCACGTGTTCACCAACAGGCTTTTTCCACACAGCTGCCTTGACCCGCTGAACAACTCACGTTTAGAGCTGAGGGGGAAACTGACACTCAGAAAGCTTGCATCTGAGGGCCTCATAGCCAAATGTGGCAGAGCCAGTGTCTCCTGAGGTCCTGGACTTTGCCTGCTTCCCCTTACCTCTTGCACTCTTCTCCAGTGTCTTCTGCCAGTGCACAGCTCCCCTGGGAGCCAAGATGACTGGCATATTGGAACACACGCATCATACTTGCTTTTGTCTTTTTCCTCATTATGTGGGAGTGACAAGGAAGAGAGAAAAGGCAAAATGGTGGTAAAATAAAATTCATTCAAAGATGGTGGTTTATAAAAAGAAAGTATAATTTTAACTCAGACTTTCAATATTTGTGGCACTGGGTGGCAGTGACCGGGCTGAGCTCTGGAGTGAAGACTACGTGGAGGCCAGGAAGCCTGAAGACCTTGGTTCCCCTGCTCCTTCTGGAGACCCTGGGCACGACACAGCAGGGTGACGCCCACTGCACATCCCCCAACTCAAGTAGGACACTTGTATTTGGGGAAAGACTAGATAACTTAGGCCAGATATAGGGCAGCCTTCCTGACAGCATGGTGAGGGGCCGAGAAGCACCCCTCTTCTGAGTGGCTCGATTTAGGTCCCCACCTTGCTCATGTGGCTGTGGGAGCGGCATCAGAGCAAAAGGGAACTGAAGAGTTTCTATTTCTCCCATGAGTTTTCTCCCTTGTAAGCCTACCTTCCTAATACTAAGGCAGCTGCCTGCAGGGTCTACACAACTTGTTCCCATTTTTTCTTCTCCCCACTCACAGCCACTCAAGTTCTAGCTCTTAGGGGAGAGACATCTAGGGAAGGGGATCGGGAAGGGGCTGTTAAGGGGCTGAGTAAAGGCTCTAGTCCCCATTGACTTGATTCACAAGGCGTCCTGTCCTCTTCTTCCCACAGGTAATTTGGTCCTTACCTTTTTGACTCTTCTGTGGAACTTTTCAGTTATTAAACCTGATCTTGGAAACCTCAGAGAAAAGCAACTTACAGAATGAAGCGAGTGGTGGGTCGGCCTGGGGACAAGCACGCAAGAAAGCCCAGCAGCTGCGGGCCGGCAGGTGGTGCACAAGTTCTCCCAGAGCGGGATGCTCCGGGACTGGGAGGTCTGTGGGAGGAGGAGACTACAGGAAACCCTCCTGTGGCTGAAAAAGGAACCCAGACACAGGCTGGTTTTCCCCTTTATCCTACCCAGCTTGCATCACAAATCAGTCTCATTCTTAATTCAGTTCTTCTGTGGGTCAGCAGTTTCCAGTTCCCTTGTGCCAGGCCCCCAGTCAGATGACCATGCCAATCTCATCCAGCCAAGGTAGTCTGACTACGCTGGGATGTGGTAGATGTGGGCTGGAAACACGTCAAATAACAAAGTCCAGGCAGTTCCACTGCCCCTAGCCTTCCCTGCCTTTTGTGTTGTGAGGCTGGAACCCAGGACCTTATCATACCAAGCAACTGCTCTACCACAGAGTTCTAGCCATGGCCTCAGTAGAATGCCTGCATGAGAAGCTGGTGCGACACTTGGAAGATTTTCATCTCACATACCCCCTTCAGGGCTGGGGTAAATTTCACTTCTCCTATGGCATGGACAGGTGGCCTTGGTCTCCACATCCCTAGAACTAGAGTTGGGCAGCTGAAATTTCACCCTCGGATTGAAAATGTGGAATGGGACATATGAGAAAACCAGCTCTTCCCCAGCCCTCTCAATTTAGATGCCTATGCGTCTCTGTCCCTTAGCCACAGGGCCCTGGAGGCGGCAGTGTGTGGGAAGCTGACCTGCTCTCTCAGTCCATGTCTAATTCCTTTTTACTGCTCTAGGGCTCACTTTCTCCTTAAAGCTGGGTGGGATTAAGTTAGGGAAGTAGGTAGGGGGAGTGGAGGAGGGGGCCAGGTACCAGCAGGAGCCAGGAGTCTGTGTTTGTGGCTTTTTTTTTTTTTTTTTTGATTGAGGTAAATAAAAAAGCTTTATCCTGCAACAACACTTGGAGCTAAGAGTCCTTCCATCCCCACAAGTTCTGGCTCTGTGCCTCCCTTCACATCAAGCTCTTCCGGTACTGACTGTGCTGGGTGGTCTGTCTGAGGTGGGAGTCCGGGGTCTGCAGGTCCATCTGTCTGTACAGGTCTCTCAGCTCCCTTACTTCCTGCAGCACCCGCTTTGCCTGGCTCCAGTTCGATGACGCCTCTCCCAGCAGCCGCTCTGTCTCCAGTAGCAGCTGCTCGGACTCAGAATCAGGCGGAGACCGTGGGGGGTCTGTGGCCTTTCGCTTGCCATCCCCCAGTCCCTGGACCTCTGCCAGCAGCTCCTGAGTCTTCTCCAGCTTCCTGGCTACCAGGTCCTGGATGTGGGCTAGCTGCCCTGGCCGGGGTGGACTGCACGCCAGAGCGCCCTGGGCCTGCAGCGGGAGGGCACAGGCTGGGGCTGCATCCCGCCGAGACAGGATCTCCTCCAGGGAGGCACATCGGCCTTTCTCTGTGGGTGTCAACTTCTTGGGGGCCTGTGGGGTGTAGGTGGCCCCCTTGTCTGGTTTTTCCCAAGGCCGAGAAAGGCTGCGGGCCCGGTCTGAGGAGGGCTGGATGTGGTCTGAGTCCGCTCTCCGCCGACTGCCTGCCAGTTGGGCTACAGACTTGTCCAGGTCCACCCGAAAGCTCTCCGCACATGAGGCCGACTCTGCGGGGGAAGGGTCCTCCTCCTGGATCAGGTCCAAGGTTAGCATCCCATCCGAGGTAGAGGTGGAAGCCTGGGAAGGACAGGGTGAAAAAGCAGCAGTGAACTCAATAGCAGACTTATGTTAACAGCGACCTGAAGAGAAGGCTGTGGTCAGTTTCCTGCTCAGTTTGCCTTCATTAACTCTGTACTGTTGACTGAGCCTATGTTGTTCACTATTTTTTATTCCTTTGATGCTGACCTAAACCTCCCTTTTCCTTTTTTTCTCTTTTTGAGACAGAGTCTGGCTATGTAGTTGGTCTTGAACTCCCTCCTGCCTGTGTCCTGAGAGCTGAGATTATGCCTGGCTTTCCTCTCTGTTTTTCTGTAACTTAGAGTTAACTCCTCTTGCTTGCTTCTCTTAACATCCCCCATGCTACAGGCTTCCTGAGGAGGGTCTACTTCAGCTGTGTGGGGAATGATGTCTCCCGCCGCACTTGGCACGCTCTGGGTGCTCTACACCATATAGTTGCTGTCCCCTCCATCTGCTTCCTCAGTCCCTTCTGCTACTGGAACTCGGAACCCCTTGCCTTATTCTAAACCTGTTCTCCTACTTCCAGGATAGTCTGATTCAGTGGTGGCAAACCTATGGTTGTTTGTTATCACTGAAAGCTCTAAAAGGTTCACCATCCCTGCTCTAATTTATTTATTTGGTGGTGGTGGGGGGCTACTGGGAGTTGAACTCAGGATCTCAGGCTTGCCAGGCAGGTGCTGTGCTACTGAGCTAAACCTGTGGCCCCTCACTGCTCTAACCTGAAGAGGTCTCATTGCTTTGTGTGTATTATTCACTTTCAGCATACCTTACAGCAATTGTTCCAGGCAGCCTGTTTCAGACAGGCACGAACATTTTCCAGTCATGTGGCCTCAGGAACCACAGTTAACTGCAGCGAGGCCCCCGCTCAGACTCTGTCCAACTCCAAAGCCTATTTCTTTTTGTTGCCCCTCAGAGCTTCTCTCCTTAGAGAGCTCAGAGAAGCACCAGAGATGATCACTTTGGATCAAAGCTGACTGCGGCCCTCCATGGAGTGCCGCAGTGCTCCGTGCTGCCGCCCATCAGGACCAGACCCTGGCTTCTGTCGTCCTGCACAGACTCATCTCTTTCCTTTCTTGAGATAGATCTCTTTCACCACTAAAACTATCAACAGCAGTGATGTGTGAGCTTTCAGAGGTGCTGACCAAGTATTTCTTTTTTTTTTTTTCAACACCCCGGGCCCGGCGCCATGGGGCCAATAGAAAGAGTTGGGACGGGGGCACGAACCGGCAACCTCGTGCTCCAAAGCCCGGCACAGAGACTGCTGTGCTACTGACCAAGTATTTCTGACTTAGAGAAATCCAGTCAAAATGGGGCCATGGGGTAGAGGCAACCCTCCTCAGCCTGATTTTGGTCTCAAGAGACTCTCACAAATGTCACTCCTCAGGACTAGCGTAGACTTGGCCTTTGGCAGTGTTTGCTTTCTTTTTCTTTTTCTTTTTTTTTTGTGGCAGAACCAGGGATTGAACTCAGGTCCTTGCGCTTGCCAGGCAAGCACTTATTCCACTGAGCCATCTCCGTGGCCCATGCTTGCTTTCTTGTAGTCCTACATACCACAGCCATGAGGTGTCCCCGAGTTGGGGGGCGGCGGGAGTGCTGGATTTTCGCTCTGTCTCTTGTGGGGTGTGCGAGATAGCTGTCCTCCTCAACAGTGACCTGAAGAGAGAGAGTGGTATGTCATGGGTGTTGTCAAGGCCTCTGTCACAACTCAGTATCCATCAAGGCCCAGACAGGAAAATAAGGCCACCTCACGAATGCCTTCTGCACAAGCCCATGAGAAGGGACTTCCTGGACATGAAGGACCCTAGGCTGGTTTGTTTGTCATGAGGTGGGGCAGATGGTGGAAAGGACTTGAAGGTGAAAGATGAGGCTTTCAAAAGGGAGAAGTGGACTTGAGGGGGAGTGAATGACAGGTCCCTAACAAAAGTCTTCCCTCTTTGTTGAATCAAGCTGTTTCCTCTGCCCAGTGCCCCTCCCCACAGCGAGCCCTCTGACCTCATCCAAGATTCGGTTCTTGGCTCGGGTGATGGCGGAGTTGAGGGCGTTGATCCACGACTCCTTCTCTTCTGGACTCACTGCCAGGAAGATCAGGTTGGGTGCCTGTGAGGGGAAGATTCTCTTTTCAGCCAGGATTTTAGAGTTGGTGCCTCACCTTGATAGTGAAGAAATAAGAAATTATAATCTCATTCTCTCAGCTCCAGCTCCTAGAAGGAAACTATTTCTGGAATCATCTACAACTGAAGGAACTCTGCCTCTATTTCTGAAAAATGCCATAACCAGAGGTTGTTTTAGAAATGAAGAGCTAAGATGGAAGGGTACTGGACACTAATAATGGACTGGATATGGCCTTGGAGATAAATAGAAGGTTTAATAAAGAACCAGTATTAAGGACCATTAAATGTTTGCGGAAACAGGATGTAACAGGAATGGCCTCCCGAGGTTCCCTCAGACAAAAAGAATTAGATGCAGACCTTTAATCACCAATAGGGCAAGGGGACTACTGACTTTCCCTCAACAGATAAACACACAGTTGTGTGTTTTTGGGAGATAGAGACAGAGAGTCAAATAGAGTGACACACACACACACACACACACACACACACACAGAAACAGAGAGAAAGAGAGACAGAGAGAGATAGAAATAAAGACAGAGACAGACAGACAGACAGACAGAGACAGAGACAGTGAGATTGAGATTGGGAAGGAGGAAAGAGAAAGAGTGAAAGCTTGACCTGCCTGGAGGGAGGGAAATGGCCACCATATTCACTGTTAAATGCCAGAAGCCAGCAGCATAGCAAGCAATTTGGGGCCTCTGAGTCAACACTGCTGAGGGAAGAACCTGGAGGGGGAAGGCTGCTCCCAGCCTGATTGCTATATTCCTGTGGCCTGGGTGGCAGGAGAAACCTACCGTGTTACCCGGCTGCTTGGAGTGGGCGAGAGTAAACTTGCTGTGATTTTTCTTGCTTCTGCTCTTGGATTTCCGGAGCTCTTCACACTTCTCATAGTCACTCAGGTCAAACACTTCTTGAATATTTTTCTCATCTTTTACCTAGGGGAGATTTAGGGGTGAGATAGGAGGATAAAATTAGTTAGCTCCCCACACCCCAAACTGCAGTCTAAACTGGGAGAGGTGGCCTCTAATCCCAGCACCCAAGAGGCTGAGGCAGGAGGATCACTTTGAGTTTGAGGCCAGCCTGGCCTATGAAGTGAGTTCAAGGCCAGTCTGAACTACACAGTAAAACCTTGTCTCAAAAAAAGACAAAAAACAAAATGTCAGTCTAAAACAGTCTCTGGAACCAGCAGCAACTTGAGGAAAGGGAAGGATGACAGAAAAGGGCCATCCTGTCTGAGGCCTCCAGAGGTGAGAATGGGGTGTGGGATAAGGGTAGTCCTTCCGTCATGAGTCCTAGGTGGGTGTGTTTACACCCCTGCCCAACTCTCCTCACCCAACCTGCCATCTCCTGAGCTTCTCTTTAGTCGTGACCCCTACTCTGCTCCCAAAGGACACAATCTACAAGTTCTTAAAATGCTCACACCCTTAAAAGGACATGGTAAAAAAAAAAAAAAAAAGGGGGCCAGGGAGATGGCTCAGTGGAATAAGCGCTTCCCTGGAAAGCACAAGGGCCTGAGTTGAATCCCTGGTTCCACCAAAAAAAAAGGACATGGTGAAGAGGGAACTCCAATCATCCCCAACCAAGGAAGACCTGGGTGGTCCCTGATGATCCAGATGGAGTCTCCAGGGAATGAAAGGCTGTCTCTGTTTTGTTCACACCGTAACTTCTTGCCCCCTCCCTGGTCCCACCTCTGATACCAGGGCACCATTTGCTATGATAAAGACTCATCCAGATAGAGCAGTCAGTACTTATCTGGTTAAAACTAACCACATACCTAAACGTAGCGCAGGTCTTCCTTGGAAGCTATCTGCTCTCCTGGACTAGAATTGTTTCCCAAAGAGGCCCCAGCTCCCCAAGCTCTGGTACAGGCAGTGCGCGTGTGTGCCTGTGCCCTCGTCTTTCCTTCAGGATCTTGCCAATCTTAAAGTGGGGAAGTAGCTCTTCTATTCTTCAGCCCATGTAAGGTTTTGCATCTACCCAGCCCTCTAAACTGCTGCTGGATCCAGGGCTGGAAGACAGCAGGACAGATGACCACAGCTTGCTTAAGGCGAGTGACAGCCCATCCATCTACTGAAGTCTTTTGCTTAGGAAAGTCTTGGTTCCCCAGCTTCAGTATGGAAAGCAACCAGAAGCTCTGAAGGCTCATAGAGACAAGGTGCTACAAGGGGCATCGGAGACAATTCCCAGAAAACCAGGGCCAGGGAGCAGGATGATGCACCATCCCTCTTCTCCCCACCTCTCCCTGAGTTAGACTATCAGCAGGGGCCAGAAGCCTCAGAGAGGAAAGTGCTGGGTGTGTGTGTGCAGCCAGGGGAAGAGAGTAACTTGTTCCATTTTCCTGAGACAGGGAAGAGAAGGGAGTTGCTTTGGCTTGGACATGGGCTGATAAGGAGGTCTGGGAGGGAGACACTGACAGAGGGTAACCCTTGGTAGGGCAGGGGTAGAGGAGGGGGCAAAGACAGCTCCACTGCCCAGGAAAGATGGACATCCCCAGGCCGGGGAGTCTCGCTTTTCTCTGCACTGTGCTCCCCTACAGTCTAATTCACAAAGTCTCATTTATAATCACTCAGCTCTCAAATTCCCTTCTTACTTGATTCTTTATCCCTGGCCCACAGAGAGTTTTCCCATGCTTGGTAAGAGTTGCCCTGAACCCAGCTTCCTCTACCATGAGGTCCCCCTAGGATCCACCTTGAGAGAATGTGTCACAGCCTTCCCTGAAAAAGGGTGTCCTGTGGCCTAGACATGGGTCACAGCAGTGTCACAGTAAACATGGAAGAAATTTTATGGGGGAGTTGTAGATCTTGTCATTCCAAGTGGAAGTAACAATGAGGACAAGATTGGTGTAAACTCCGGGAGTCATTCTGATATTTTTGTTTGCACTGACATGTAAATTACAAATATTATTCTCTAGTTAAAAAAAATCAAATCGATTGGTTCTGGAGTTTTTGGGAAGTGGGCAGAATAAAGCCTACTGTCTTCTGTGAGTGTCACCTTTACATGATGCCTGCAGTGGCATGAAAACTGTGGGGGACAGGAACTCACTACACTATTTCCTTTTCCTCTATGTTCCCAGCAGGGGATTGGGGCCCCCAGAGGAGTCAGATGGTCCTGACTCACAGGGCACCGGGCTGAGGTCATGATACCCTTTCCTTGGCTCTGGATGGCTTCCTCCACACACCAAGCACAATTAAGTTCTCTTGGCCCCCAGACTCTGCTCTTTGGACAAGTACAAACAGGAAAAAAACCTCTTATTTCTTGTACCCTTTCACTGTTCTCTAGTTTCCTCTTTGACGTGTAGGAAATTCTCCCTGATTGCTCACTTGAGCTTCCTGCCATTATGAAGTTCAGGAAGGCAGAGGGTACACTCTGACACTTGCGCTTTTTTTTTTTTTTAAACAAAACAAAACAACTACAAAGCCAGAAAACTGTAGTGAGAACTTTCTGCAGGATTTGTGACTGAACAGAGGTGACCCTTACAACTTGATCTTCCTGTCTTCTCTCAGCTAAGTCTCGCCGCTAAGTCTCCCTCAGCAAGTTCCGGATGGCAGGCACAGCCAGGTTTAGACACCTGCATGGGGAGTGCCTGAGCCTTTGCACAGCTCAGTTCTGCCCTAGTCGCCTCAGCACTGCTGTGCTCAGATGAGTATGTTCTCCTGGGCTGCCTGTCTGCTTCAATACCATAAAAGGAATTATTTACCTAAATATAATCTACGGAACAGTAGTGTCTACTGCAGAAAGCAGAAGTGGTTAGCACTCTGGCAGGACTTCCCAGTGAGCCCTGGGGGGTGCGGGGACACAGAAAGGGAGGAGAGGCCATGCTCAGGGGATCACAGGACCTCAGCCAGGCAACTGCAGCACATCCCAAAGGAGAATTCCAAGTCCTCACTCGCACAACTTGCTACCGGTCACAAGAGCTAGGGGGAAAAAGGGAGAAGAGCCTGACTCAGAGATCTGTGCTGGGATTCTGACCCAATATGGCCTGTGATTTTCATGTTTAACTACAGAGCCAAAGCTATGCAGAGACAGCAGGGGCTTGCAACTTTATTTTTCTCCCCTCTGATGTAAATATGGGTGGACAGGAAGAAGTTGACACAGGAGAACCTTATCTTTTCATATTTTTTAAGTGGAGTGGAGCAGAGACCATCCTGGTTAGGGACATCAGCTTCCACAAAGATAACTGCTTGGCATCACAGTCATTCTACTCAAGGTCACAAGACTGACACTGGGCTGTGCTTTCTCTGATCAGAGCCGCACCATCGGCCCCTGTCACACACAAGAAAGGAGGGGCTGGCTGGGGTGCTTTGGGGAGACAGGTGAGGGCACGGGAAGAGCTGAGCAGCTGTTGTAGCAGCAACAACAAAGGACAAAAATCCTGTATTTCAGGATGCCAGGATAGGGTAGGAGGCAGCAGGGAATACGCGGGACTTCTGGGACATGTTGGGAGATGACAATCGTCACAGAGGTATTTGCAAAGAAAAAACATGAAATCAGAAGGAAACTCAACTTCTAATTCTTGCTCAGGTCTTCTCACTGAAAAGGGACTTTTTCCCCGAGGAGCAGCAGGATGGGGCAGAGACTCAAACTTGACTTAAGACAGGGAGACCCGCTGTGGCCGCGCCCCCCAAGACAGAGGGGGGCTAGCAGGAGGCAAGGGGCACCTACCTCCTTCTCGGAGATGTACAGCTGGTCCCCTCTCAGCACCACGTAGCGGTTTTTCCAAATCTCCCTGAAAATCCCTTTCCCGCAGAATTTCCGGACCCAGCCGACCTTCTCGGGAGGGGCAGACTGATGATTTCCATCCTGAGGCCCCTGTCCCGAGGCGAGACAAGAAGCAGGCGTGAGGTGACCGCAGCTGGGTCCGCCCCCGACCCCCTCGGCGCCCCTGAAGGCTGGAGCCGGAGAGCCTGGGTCGCCTCCAGTTCGGAGGTCTGCGCTCGCAGCAACTCTGCGGGCGCCCCCCAGCCCCCGCTCCGCTCCCGAACCCCGAGACTGAGGAAGGGGCGAGGAGGGCGGGCCGGGAGCGCGGCCCAGGCCCCGGCCTCCTCGGGGCGGGCGGCGCTTTCTTTCCTTGGGTTTATCTCTCATTGTCTCCTCGCCGCCGCCGCCGCCGCCGCCGCCGCCGCCGCCGCAGAGCCCCGGCGGAGGAGGACGCGGGGCAGGCGCAGCGGCCAAGTTGAAGCCTCGGGTG